ACATTTAGAGGATGTTTGGCTCAACCTGCTGCTGTGAAGCAGGATTCTTCACCATGAACAGAATCAAAAATAAATATAGATATGTGCTTTAGAACGGCTTAGTCTCCATTCAAACCCAGGTTTAAAGCCTTGCAGGGCAGCATAAAGCCCACTGCCAACATTAAGACAGAAAAAAGAAAGAAAAAACGTTCAGTTCAGGTGTTTTATAAAATATGTACATCAGGAAACTGTCTATATACCAGACTTAAAGATTGTTGTTCTCTACTTAAAAAAAAAACACTTTAGATTTTAAAATGGAAAATCTTTTTTTTTAGTTTTTTATTTAAAATTTCAATGTATAACATGGATGCATAAAACCCTCATTTAATTTCAGTGTTAAATAATGTTTAAAGTAACAGATAATAATAAAAAATGTCTCCCTACTTTTACTGGTTGTTGATTTTCTTTATTCGGACCCTTCTGATTTTTAATTGGTTACTTCTGCTATAAACCATCCCACATTCTTTATTGCTGTGTTTTCTTTTTTTTTTAAACGTAGTTCTCACTCTTACGTAGATCTTCCTGTTGACCACATGCCACTGTTCAGCCCCCAGTGAACTAACCGTAAAAACTGACTCTACTCCCTCTAATCCCACTGGGGATTAGAGGATTAAATATTAACCTGCAAAAAATAAGCCCTGAAACGTACATATAAAGTCCAACTATTAGAAATCCAACATTTATTCAGTGAGCAGAAGCCTAAAGAAATTGGTCAAAACTGCTGCTTTTGTTTATAGCACCGAATTTAATGTGAAACAGGCTTTTCTTATGAAATCCTCAGACTTTGACAGCAGCTGCAGCAGAACTTTTAGTCGAGTTTATCCATCTTGCTTTCACAGCAGCAGGGTTTCTTCCCCAGAACCTTAACCTCCATAAACGGTGCCTCTGCTCTTCCTTCAGGGGAACTGACGCCACACCTGGGACGTCCTCTGGTGAGCGTCTTCCTGCAGGGAACCCGGGATCCGGACCAGAGTGTCCGAGCCAGCAGCCTGTCCAATCTGGGGGAGCTCTGCCAGAGACTGGACTACTCACTGGGGCCGCTGGCACAAGAGGTGAGAGCACCAGTTAAACCAGAATATGTTGTCAGAGCAATGATTTCAAATATTAGACAGATGATTGTTGTTCATGCCGAAATGTCGGCGATTAATTCATTCATTTTTTCTCGGAGAGAAATTAAAACTTAAGCAGGAAATAGAAAAAAAAGAGAATAGAAGAGCTTTAAATGGTTCCACATGATGAAGAGGGGCAAAGAGGGGCTAGTCTTTGGAAAAGGCTGATTTTTCAGGGTGGTACAGGTGTGGGGCGCAGCAGCAAAAAGAAACAAACAGTAAGAGAATAAACAACAGCTAAGATCTCATGTTACCTTCTCCCAATATGAAAATGATAAAAATCCTAAAATAATCCAGATTAATTGTTTCCAACAGCACCGCTGAGCCCGACTAAAGAACTTTGAACTGCTATAGTTGCTTTACTCTTTTTTTGCAACATTTAGAGAAGAACATGGAGCAGAAGAAGAAGAAAAATGAAAGACAGAAATTATAAATTGGACAGAGCTCTGTACGCCCTCCATTTTGACCATCGTTTCCCAAATGAAGTCGCTTTTAACCGCAGGAAGTACGTTATTTTTCCATCTTATACCATTCCAATGCGTCACTTCTAAACCAGTTTCCGTGTTCCGTTTTCTGGCAGTCAGCATCGTTTTAAACACATAGGTCTTCCGTTGGAATAACTCCCTCATGTTGGGGGGTTTTTAAATGTTTACTGTAGTGTTTGAAGTTATAAAATATCTTCCCACATTTTACCAGCCAGATTCTATTATCTGCCCTGTGCTTGTTGCTATGTTGCTAGAGACACACAGAAAGCCAACCCTGAATCAGTCATTTTGTTTCTCCTTTTGGTTTAATATACAAAGCATTGTTTATCATTTAACAATGATTTATATTAGTTAAATATCACTTTGGCAGCTAGTTGTCTGCATGCTTTTGTTATGCCCCATTCACTCCGCAAGCAGCAGCAAACGCGTGTGCTGCTTCATATTTGATGCTTGTACAAGTTTAGTTCTGATGCGCGGCTGAAGCATCTTTGCTGCTCTGGCAGAGCGGTTGAGAAGTGAAACAATTGCAGCTATATTTGCTGTGATCAGAGAGTAAAAAGTAGTTTTAATGTTTTTATGTTTTAATTAGGGATGCAGGATATTGGGATTTTGGCCGATATCCGATATGCCGATATTTTAAAACTCATTTAGCCGAT